TTTTCTAGTTGATAAAGTTTTTCTAGTTGGTTAAGTTGGTTAACTAAACGTATATTGCGAAGATGAGAGGAAAGAGCTTTTGAAGCGAAACTGTGGTAGGCTTCACGTATCACCGTGGACTGGAAGGTAGGCCACCAGACAAGCAAGTTATCTGAAGGAGGGAGGGGTCCTGGGTTAGAATCTCAGGGACGGTCAAATTTTCAAAAAATTTTCTTTTTTTTGTTGTTTATTTTAAATTACATTATTTTTTTCATGTGCTTTTCGATATTCTGGAGGTTCCTGCATGTAGGGGGGGGGAATTTTTATAGGGAAAATGGGAAGAAACTGGAAAAATCCAGGAAAATCAGTTTATTTGCTCTTTTTCGACTTCTATTGTAACATTTTGGATATTCTAGCATGCATGGGATGTTTTTTGTGTGTGAAGTCCAGCAAAGATAGCGTAAAGGAATAATAAAAAAAAAGAATAAAAAAATAAAATAACTCGAGAAAGGTTCAAATTTCAAGACCCCCTAGCTCCCTTTAATATCAAGGTATAATTTTCAAACTCGGACCCTATATAGGGGTCTATGGTCCAAACAAGGCTGCTGAATAAATTTTTTATAGGCCAATTAGGGGGGTCACAGTGGGCCCCTAAAGATATTTTGCGAAGATGAGAGGAGAGAGCTTTTGAAGCGAAACTGTGGTAGGCTTCACTTATCACCGTGGACTGGAAGGTAGGCCACCAGACAAGCAAGTTCGCTACTGGAGGGAGGGATCCTGGGTTCGAATCCCAGTGACGGTCAAATTCTCAGAAAAATTTCTTTTTTTTTTTTTGTTTATTTTAAATTACATTTTTTTTATGTGTTTTTCGATATTCTGGAGGGTCCTGCATGTAGGAAATAATTTTTTTCTACTGGGAAAATGTTAAAAAACTGTAAAAATCCAGGAAAATCAGCTTATTTGCCCNTTTTTTTTTGTTTATTTTAAATTACATTTTTTTTAATGTGTTTTTCGATATTCTGGAGGGTCCTGCATGTAGGAAATAATTTTTTTCTACTGGGAAAATGTTAAAAAACTGTAAAAATCCAGGAAAATCAGCTTATTTGCTCTTTTTCGACTTCTATTGTAACATTTTGGATATTCTTTAATGCATGGGGTGTTTTCTGAGTGTGAAATCCAGCAAAGAAAGCATAATGGAATAATAAAAAAAGAATAAAAAAATAAAATGGCTCGAGAAAGGTTCAAATTTGAAGACCCCCTAGCTCCCTTTAATATCAAGGTATAATTTTCAAACTCGGACCCTAAGTAGGGGTCTATGGTCCAAACAAGGCTGCCGAAGAGAATTTTTATATGCTAATTAGGGGGGTCACAGTGGGCCCCTAAATGTATATTGCGAAGATGAGAGGAAAGAACTTTTAAAGCGAAAATGTGGTAGAAGAAGATTCATATTTTTTTCTGTTTATATACAAATATTTTTCCAATGTGTTTTGGATGTTCCTGCTTTAAAAAAAAGAGATACCACTTTGTTTCCGTCTGCATAAGAAAGGAGTCCCGCAGTGGACTGATCAGTAAGACACGGTTCCCAGCAGATCACCGAAGTCAAGCATCACTGGTTACGGTCAGTGTGCGGGTGGGTGACCACTTGGATCACTCTGCGTAGGGACCGAGGGTGCGCGGTATGGGTCCTCGTTAAACTGTGCTATTGAAAGTCCTCGACTTCGCGCGCAGGTCGTCGGGCTACCGAAGCGGGGTTGCCATCCCCTCCGCAAAGGATCAAAATTGTGATGGCATGTCTTCGGATCATCCTCAGGGATGTTTCCCAGACCGTTCCTCAATAGCCCATTGTGCAGCTTTAGTGCGACGTAAAATTAACAACAACAGCATAAGAAAGGATATCAAACATTTTTCTTTTTCAAATTTAATAAGCAACATTAAAGTAGGAACGTTACAATGCTACACGTTGCATTAAAGACGTCTCCAGAGTAACTGAATGACTGTTGATATAGAAATTGCAGGTATTCGTCTCATACAACAACGTCCCCTATAGTTCGTTGTGATCGCGAATTTCCCGAAGGAAAAAAAAATTCTTATATATAGAACCCTGTGAAACATTGAAAAACACATTAAAAAAAATAATATCAATTAAAAGAAAGGAAACAAAAAAAAAATTTTAAAAATTTTAAATTTGACCTCGGGTTTGAACCCGAGTCACCGTGAAAAGCAATTTCGACAGTTACCAGCGCAATGCCCTACCAACTAGGCAGCGCCATACATGGTGTTCACACTGATATTTAACTTAAAGAACCCTCTCCCGGTCTGACCTATATAAAAGTTTTTTGCTCATTGTGAGCCCCCTAGTTGCTCTGAAAAATTTTCCATTGGCATGGGTGTTCGGCTCATGGAGTCCTACTTTTGGTCCGAGTTTGAACATTATAGCTTAATATTAAAGGTCGTTACGTGGTCTTAAAGTTTTCGCCCTGCCCCGGTTCATTTGGGACGCTTCTTCTACCATTATATACATTATTCGCATCTTTAACAAAGAAAGATACTTGTCTCTGTAAGTAGAAAGCATTTACTTTCGCTCCAATATAGAAAGTAGTGAAAAAGAAGTGGAAACAAAATAAAATAAATAAATTATCCCGTTTTTTTTTGCGCATTATGCGCTTTTTCCCGAATTAAAAAAAAAATTTTTTTTTAGATATAGAGCCCTTGAAATATCGAAAATTACACTCACAAAATAATATCAATTAAAATAAACGAAACAAATAAAAAAATTTAAAAATTAAAATTGACCACCGCCGAGAATCGAACCCACGCCAATACCACACGCCAGCTACAAGCGCAATGCCCTACAAACCAGGCCATGCCTTACATAGTCTTCGTACGGATATTTAGCTTAAAAAACCCTCTCCCGGTCAGACATATATAAAAGTTTTTCACCCACTATGCCAAATGCTCTATAAAAAACCTATAGGGTCGAATCGTTGGGCCCTATTATGCCTATTATTGTTCCTCCTGGTAGGGTACAGTAGTACTCGGTAACATAATACTTGATCCAATATGAACTTTATGAGTCAATATTAAGGGAAGATATAGGAATAAGTAGCAATAAAGAATATTGACTTCGAATTTCCTCATTTTAACGCTATTTAACGCACTTTTAAATATATACATGCATAATAACCTATAGGGCTGCATTGTGGGCTCCCTATTATACCTATGATTGATTCCCCTGGTAGTGTACACTAGTACCCGGTCATATATTACGGGATAATTTTAAGGGGTGATATAGAACCATGTTTTAAAACAGAATATTGACTTCGAATTTCCTCATTTTAACGCTATTTAACTCAATCTTATATGAATATATACAGTATCCTATAAGACTACATTGAAGGATCCCTAATGAGCCTCGAATTATTTCCCCTGGAAGGGTACACTGGTATACGGTAATATAATACCGGGTCCAATATAAATATTATGGGTTAACATTAAGGGATATATATAGGCTTTCGTTATAGAAAAAGAATATTGACTTTGAGCCATGAAATTTGTATAATTGCAGTTTTAAGAACCATTTTGATTCGTCTATCAATTGCGGAACTTATGCTGTATAATATTAATCATGCAATGCTTTTCATACTATTCTACACCTTGACCTTTGCTGTGATCGAATCATTTTCTTTTCATTATGGAAAAGGGTGGCCGGTTCAGGGGCGGATCCAGAAATTTTTCCTGGGGGGGGTCATAGTCTCAGATTACCCCCTCCCCACACACACACACACAATAAAAAATTTTTAATATTTTTTTTTGAAAAGAAAGAAAACTGGGGTTTTTTAAGTTACTCTTCTCATTTATTTTGTTCATAATGAACAATAGAACAATACATAAATAATTCAAGTATTCAAAATCTGTAAATAATAGATGTAATNCCCCCCCCCCACACACACACACAATAAAATATTTTTAATATTTTTTTTTTGAAAAGAAAGAAAACTGGGGTTTTTTAAGTTAGTCTTCTCATTTATTTGTTCATAATGAACAATAGAACAATACATAAATAATTCAAGTATTCAAAATCTGTAAATAATAGATGTAATACGTTTTTTAGAAACTTTGGCAAATCTGTCAATGATTTTTTCGACATCCAAATCAATTTCTCGATGAATGTTTAATAATGCGAGTCCATTTAATAGTTGTTGATTTTGAGTTGCTCTAAGTCAAGTTTTGAGACGTCGAAGAGTTGAAAAGGAACGTTCTGCTCTTGCTGCACTAACTGGCAGAGTTATTAAAATTCTCAACAACATATTGATTGATGGGTACAAATCGATGTCACAGGCATTAATAATCCTGGAAAGATCTTTGGGCAACCTAGGCAGAGTTGGCCAAAAATGTAATCGATTACATTTTTTGTTTACAGTAATCAATTACTTGTAATCATGATTACAATTTTCAAAAATTTTGATTGCAGCTGTAATCATGATTGCAATATTAATTACAGTAATCAATTACTTGTAATCGCAATTACTTGGAATCATGATTACAAGTAACTGATTACTGTAATCAAAATTGTAATCATGATTATAGCTGTAATCAAACTTTGTAATCATGATTGTAAGTAATTGATTACTGTAATTGAAAAATGTAATCGAATACATTTTCGCTTTACTCTGATGTAATCAAAAATGTTGATTACTTGTAATCGTGATTACAAGTAATTGATCACATAGCTGTAATTATCTGTAATCAATTACAGTTGTAATCGATTACTGTAATCGACGATCAACTCCTAGGTGAGTATGCCACCTTAAATAATTTTTAAAATATTTTATTTCTTTTGAAAACTATTAAAAAAATTATTATTTTTATTTATTTTTTCAATTTGGGGGGGGCATGACCCCTATAACCCTCCCCCGCTGGATCAGCCACTGATCCGGTTGAGTTAAGAATCTTTAAAGCAAATACGGTATTTGTGAGTTTCAGTATTTATTTGTCGAAACATTCCGTGTTTTATCTTTATTACAATCCAATGATTACAATCAATCCAACTGTTTTGAGTGGAGAATAATTCCGACGGAGAGATGTTTTCAGTTGTTCGAATCCAGCATTTTCGAAATCTCTGCTACATATGAGGGGAAGGTTATGTCAGTCATGCACAAGGTCAGGATCTCTTGCATGTTTTCTCTCGGGACGTCAATAGCGTAACTCTTGCGCAGTATCATCTTATCGAAGAGTGCCTGGTAACGGAGAGAAGATGGAAGATTATGTATACAGAGTGTGTCGTAAATACTACCCTTAACACTAAACATACCCTAACCAGTCAAATGATCGTTTAAGAACTTTGGCATCGAAAATGCGCTCATCATCTTATCGTTTTTCCACATTTGACTTCATGACTTTTTCTAACAATTATGTAGGGGAGAGTGGGGTCAATTGTAACATTGTTCACTTAACTGTTTTTAACTAAAAAAAAATCCAATATATTATTAGTACTAATTGACAGACGAGTAAAGTAGACTATCCTCCACTAGGAAAAAAATAAATACCTTATTTTAAATGTTATTATATTAGTTATTAACAAATTTTGTCAGTCGTGCACTTGTTACAATTGTCCCCACTTACAGAGTCAATTGTAACAGTTCATAAATTCAACTAAAACATAGTTAATTATACATATTATCATAGTTGTGATATATTTTTTTATTGATCAAAATAGTAGTTATATTTTAGGAGTAAAAATAATAATGAGCAGATACTTAAAGGGTTAAACTTTTGACTTTTAGGGGTTAAAAATTTTAATTTATGCTGTGAAAGGTGACAAATAAAATAATGCACACGCAGCATAATATAAATGATATAGGAAACTATTGGTGGTTCTTAAGGAGTTAAGTAATGGTTTGTAAACATAAGATTATTTATNGAAACTATTGGTGGTTCTTAAAGAGTTAAGTAATGGTTTGTAAACATAAGATTATTTATTTTCAGCTGTTACAGTCGTCCCTTTACTTATTGTTACAATCGTCCCCAAGTCGCCATTTCAGCTTCATTTGTTAAAAGCAATGCTAGTTAATTAACGAAACTAATCTTTTTTTCTGAAATGTTAATTAAGGTGTCCACTTATATATTCGGTTAATAATTTTTATTTGTTTAAACAAAATTACTTAGCTACAATATAATATTCTAATACCAAAAGAAGTACTTACGTAGCTTGAAAATATCTTTTGTGGTGTAACTCTTTCAAAAGTAAATAAAAATGGTTGCCAGCAGGGGTGTACATGTAGATTTATTAAATACACCTTGTGCAACACCTAGGAACCAAATCTAGAACCAAACGCTCGAAATTTTTGCTCTGTTACAATCGTACCCTGTTACAATTGACCCCACTCTCCCCTACAGTTAATATTCTATTATTATTTTGTATTTTGTTTGTTTCGAATAATACTTGTCGTATACCTATTTCTACCACAACCGGTCATTTGACCGGGTAAACCATTTATTGCTTTATAAGGTTATCGGATCTGAAATTACGATGTAATGCGTGTTCAACGTATTGCATTCGATGAGTTGCATATTTCTGCAAAAGACTGTTGCGTAGTTACTTCAATCAGAATAACTGTAAACTGTGTATTAGTTTTTAACCAAGAAAAATGTCGAAACAATCAAGACAGCACAAGTTTTTAGAAGAAATAATATTAATTATAAGAATAATTATCAGAATTATAATTCTCATATATATTCTTATAATTATAAGAATTATCGAAGAAATAATAATTAGAAGAAATATGTTTGAAATATATGTAAAAAATGCGTTGAGCGATGAATTAAAAATTCCTATTCTTTGTGTTTGTGGCACATAAAAATTGACACTATACAATTTTGCTTAATTATGATTAAGTTTTTTTTAGTTTATTTCCTTAATAACATCCACATTTCATACATTCAATCAAGAAACATAGAGTCCGATCATTTGACCGGCTATGGTGGAAATAGGTATAGATTAAGTGTTGGTATGTTTAGTGTTAATATGTCTTTTTAGATTCTTAAATGAGAGCCCCTTTCCATATTACTAGACGCACTCTAAGATTCTATGTAAACTCTTAATTATCACGTGACACTATACAGCCAATCCCGGATTAAGCGTACGCGGGTCCCTAGGACATTCAAATTTTTGGGGGCCCTTAGATTAAATTTTTTTCTCGTATATTTTTTATTTGTTCGAATATAAAAGTATTTATATATCTTTTCATTTAGGAAAGCATATTTAAAATAAAAATCTAATATGTATAATTCTCTTACGTGACTCCCAAATTTTGGCTGTATTTCTTTTCCGCCGGTGGCAACGTTTGCTTTGTTTTGTTCACGTTACTATTTCTCTTACACGGCGAATCGACCNCATTTAGGAAAGCATACTTAAAATAAAAATCTAATATATATAATTCTCTTACGTGACTCCCAAATTTTGACTGTATTTCTTTTCCGCCGATGGCAACGTTTGCTTTGTTTTGTTCACGTTACTATTTCTCTTACACGGCGAATCGACCCATGATTGCCGCTGAAAAAGTCACATGCCAAATCTAGCCGAGGTGGCTCAACATATAGCGCTTTTAAAAACGGAAACTGAAATAACCAGAGAGAGCATTCTCACCAAATGTGATCTCTTCTGAAATTCCCCCTATCAGCTGCGGCAATCTCGTACTATTAAACTAGGCAGAAGTGAGTAGTCTTTGTCGATAGATCTCTATTTTAGTATTTTGTAGAAAGCGCTTTTTTTCACGAATTTATATATTACGAATTTATTTGACGATTTTTGATTTATATCACGAATTATACTATAGCACATTTCTAATAGGTTTAACGAATTACATGTCATTTA